CAGGAAAAAAGAAGAAGAAAAGAATGGTATTTTTGGCATGTAAAACCTCTCCTTGTACATCTCTGATTGGCGAAATTTTAATTCATAGGCATTTCACTTATAATCAGAATAGTTGACAGAATATAACACTAATGTATGACTATGGATGTGCATAACCTATATAATCAAGTTGGATTCAGACAAAATAAAGCTTGAAAACAGTCTATAATTGTATACCTTTTCATTCTCCACATACATCGAGACAAGGACTGGGTCAAAGAATTTCTTAACGTAATAGTGAAGCATCTTCCAGCGACCGCCATACTCTGGAAAATCAGTGAACTATGAAAAACAATGAGAGAAACTTTGAAAACAAGGAGATTCAGCAATATATATCCAAGCATGCAATATTTTAATTGTATCTGTGTCTGTACATGTATCTAGAAGTTTATATTTCTCCGTGTTCCTTTTCCTGCCCATGTCTGTTTCTGTGATCATGTGTATGTCCATGCCCATGACTATATTCAAGACTACATTTGTATCCATGTCTACATCTGTCTATATCTGCATCTGTATGTGTCTTTGTATTTGTGCCTTTGTGTGCTTGTGCCTACAAGTCTTTTTACATAACACCAGTACCTATGGAGGCCCAAGAAGCTCCCTGCCAGATATCATTTAGCTGCCAGTAAAGAGCTCCACTTGTGTACCCTTCTCCTTTCTCATTCAGATCGCTCATCGCACGACGGTAGAATTCTGTTTCAGTCTTTACAGCCACTGCCTGGTGAATCTGTTAGGAGTAAGCAGTCTAGTCTAAGAATTAACATTCAAAACTATATATATATATATATATATATATATAGATAGATAGATAGATAGATAGATAGATAGATAGCTTGAAAATACACACTTAACACAAATCCTATACAGGCTCTTTGTTTCTCAAGTATTTAGCTCACCAATAATCTCTTCTGAAGTCATTTTCATACAAGCTAACCAATACAACATGAAACAAAGACTGTAAGATTTCATCTACAAGTACATAACTCACACACATCACACCTGGCTGAGATAGAGATAATGTTCATAGACTTCAACAGATCCGTCTTGGGGAGGCATGTGCATATGTAAGCCAATTTGCAATGCTAGTTCTGCCTGTCCTCCTGGGTGGTGCTGACGGTGGTACATCATAGCTGACTCTCGGTTCCAGTCCTCTTCTGCAGTCACTGCCTTCATTGTCCTGATAACAGATTTTGAGTGACTGGTTGAATTTTATGATTTACTTTAATTATTATAAAGACTAAAATTATCTGGCAGTGATATTCATTTCTTTTCTTTTCTTTTTTCAAGGACAGAATATCAGGTTTTGCAATGCATATATACATACCTGAAGACAGGCCAAGACTGGAAGCCATACTCAGAGGCAAACCTCGTTCTTGGCGTAGCATGACCAAGCCAAGCATCACTCAGGTAATTGTAATAGTGGACTGTTATGGGGAAAGAATAGTATGTAAATAATATTACATTATGAAAAACAGACACACCACATACATATGCCATACTCAGACATATCCAAATATGGTACAAATAAAAAAAAAACATAAAATCCTTCAATATCAAAGTGCCATATCTATTCAATTCATTCATACCTAATTCTACAGGAAAATCACAAGTCAAATACATTACAGGTATAAAAATTCAACTGACCATCACCATACAGAGTACTGTACGGATTGACGGCGACATGACCTTCTTCCTCTGATTCAATACCATTGTTTGGAGAACTTATGACGAAAGGATGACTGTCATCAGTTTCCACTGCCATGGCCTTTATTGTGTCTACATACAGCTTTATGTAGTCTCTCTTATAGAGATCGAAGTCCGATGCTGTTCCATACCTATTAAAGATACAAGTAGATATAAGACAGACTTTGGTCTTCTGTTGCTCCATACAATCATTAAATAAATAAACACATTACAAAAGCAAGAATACCATCAACTATGATATATGATTTCAAAATGCTGTGGTTAAATATAATTCACTTAGGAATTAAAACAAACTTCTAAATCAAAAACAGGTCAATACATGTAGCTGCTAACATTGGCTACTGATAGCTTTTAAAAATTGCAAAGTTCATCAAAAAAATTAATATGAAAAAATAAATTCATATGTGTAGTATCAAATGTTCCTGTAGTAAAGTATACATAACAATCACATCATCTGTTATATCATATGAATATAAAATAGTTGCAACCTGTACTATAGACTAATAATAAGTAAAGAAATACTGAAATGAATCACCAAATAATAATCAGACTTGGAATAGCTAGAAATGTCAGTCAGTAAAGATATCCCATCAGCTAATTCTAAAACCCTGATTCTACAAAATTCCTACAGTCCATCAAAACACTAAAGGTATTCAGAAAGGCAGAGAATAAGCCTGGTATGCAACATCAGATGACTAGGTATGGATGGCATATTCCACAGATGATTAACATTCTCTATGGCTTCAGAGTGAATAAGGATAAAATTCAAATTCAAATTCATCCAGAATACAGAAATTAATATCTCTTACCAGTTGCCCCTCAGTGCAGCCTCATTCTCATTGTTACCGGCCCAGAGGAGAATGCTTGGGTGATGTTGAAGACGCTGAATCTGCGTTTTGATTTCCTTCTTTGTTGTCTCAAGGAATGGTTCATCGACAGGGTACATACTGCAAGCAAACATGAAATCCTGCCATATGAGGAGTCCGAGCTCATCTGCAATCTGTTGAAGGTACGAGGAAAAAAAAAATTTAGTTCCTTGCTCTGAAAGAAGAGAAATAAAGAAAAAAACATTTGATCTGAAGATACTTTATACCTTTTACACAACAGTTTCAGAAAGGGAAATTCCATTTCACCCTCAGTGCTTTCCTCTACATATAAAAACAAGTGGGAATACAGAGATACCAATACCTCATAAAACACATCAGTCTCGTAGATGCCTCCACCCCACACTCGAATGCAGTTTTGATGAGTATCAGCCGCTGCCTTCAAAAGTTCCCTTGTGTAATGTTCTGTCACCATCTCTGGCAGTACATGAGCAGGTATCCAATTGGTGCCTTTCATAAACATTGTAATATTGTTCACTATCACCCTATAGTGCCGACCTGTGGGGAAACAGAAACTGCAGCATTACTGAGTTTAAAAGAAAACTGATAACAAAAAATACAAGTTTATCTTTACACTAATTCTATCTAAAATCTCTTCCTCAAGAAGTATCTCCAACCCCACAATTAAAAATGGGCCAAAATATCTACAAATCTTTCCTTTTCGCACAAAAAAAAAAAAAAAAAAAAAAAAATTACCTTTGACTGGATCAGTTTCATCGACATAGTCTTGGTTCAGATCTACTGTTCGGAACCCAACCCGTACACTTGCACTGGACTCCTCGCTCTGGTCCTTGTTCTTCCACACAGCCGACAGTTCATATAATGGCTGGGAACCATAACCATTGGGCCACCACATGTCTACCTGGTTCTGGGTGTGTATTCAGTGGAAAATGTTTATATACAGTTAACTATGAGCTTTATCTATGAATGTAAAAACAATTGATTGGAAAATTCTAGAAAGCCTCTTTTGTGTGTAGCAAAGTGGACAATATTGAAAAAAAAAATTCTTCATGTATGCTATAGCTTTATAAAAGGTATACATTCATTTAAGTAGTGGTAATTGAAAATTACATTAACATACCTCTTCAAGGGTGAAATTTATGGTGAGCATTGTCTCATACTCTTCAATGGCAGCAGTGACTGTATACTTCATGCTAAAGATATCTGCCAGAGACACATACACACTTCCCTCCATCTGTCCTTTTTCAATGGCTGAGTCACACAACACCTAAATCATGGTTGAAGTGATAGAGATGAAGTTATTAGAGTATCTTCACAAGGTGGTATTCACTTTTAATTAAATCAGGAAAATGACTCTCCATGCTGAAAACATTACTGTGAAAAGATGTTGTTCTTAGACTGATCATATAGGCATATTATACATCATATTCCATTTTGGAAGCAATTTCTCAGGTAGCTGAGAAACACACACAATAACTATAATAATAATGATAATGATAATATGAAACTGATATTATCATTCAATTTCAAGCTCAATTCAATTTTCCAATAACCTGTATTACCCAAAGAGAAAAGGAAACTCATCCCATCAGAAAGCTATACCTTGACAGTGACTTCCCAACCAGGTTTGAAACTGTGGTCTGGGACTGAAGGCAGAGGAGACGTAGGACGGGCAGCAAACATAATGTTTCTGACAAGTAAAGAGTTCCATCCAACTAAGTGCCAGTCTTTCCTGTTAAGGAAAAAATATATATTATTCATATCTGAAGACTATTTACTTGTGCATTTACAAGGAAGGAATGTGAAAGTCATATATAATAATGATATATGCATATGATGAATATATATTTCAGAGATCCTTCAGAAAAAGTACTCAATTTTAATTATCTAACAATGTCATATCAGAATTAGCAGGAAACCATGAAATTCAGTGATCATTCATGTTCAGTCCACTTATAAAACCCTAAAGGGAAAACACCAGTCACACATCATATTCCATTTTGGAAGCAATTTCTCAGGTAGCTGAGAAACACACAATAAAAGAAAGCACTTATTACACACCAAATCCCCGAATTGGCAAAGGCTGGACCCCAATCCCAGCTGAAAGAGGCCTGCATCTTGCGGATGTGGTTGGCGTGGCATATCCCTTTGAATGCTGGATCCACACACTTTGGTGGAACGATGTAGTCTACAGCCTGTTCATTGTACTTCTGGGTGGCATACTCACTGGGTGATCGGAATGCAACATCGAGATTTACTGTTGTGCCCTAAGAAGAAAGGAGATGCTGAGTTACATGTTATAGGCCTTTTTACATTTTCTTTGTCAATGCAATGTGCATTTTACTTTTCCTTTTCAATTTACATTAAAATACAAGATACATTCCATTACAGCAAGAATCTCCCATTCAAAAG